GTTTCACAGAAACTTCAATAAATTCGGTGGGCAGGGGTTCTAGCCCTGGTTCTTAGGAGCTTCCAGACAAGTTATGACACCTTTATGCTCTGTTTTTTAAATCTATAAAATAACTCCTTCTTTATGCTTTAAAAGGATACTATGAGATGTTACTGAAAGAAAAAAGGAATGAAGAAAGACAAAGACATACAGTTTGGGAAATGATTGTTTTCTGGGCATGGAGAAAATGCAACGTGTACAAGCTTGTAAAGGCATCAGCAGGGAAACCAGAATTACACACACCAAAGAAGAGAAGGAGAGAAAAAGAAAAGGAGCAAAAGTTAGAATTAACTGTGCCAATAGGAAATCAGTATGTAATTGCTCATTAGCTAGAGGCATTGCTTTGTACATTTGTCTATAATGCAGGGATACTTCAAAAAGTTTGTGGAAAAGTGAAATTAAAAGACACATTTATTTTGGTGCGAAAATTTGAAATCCAGGTATTTTTTTCATAATATGCTTTTCCCCTTTTTGAAGTTCCCTGATATTCCTAGGCTTCAAATTTTTTGCACTACCAAAATTAAATTTATCTTTGAATTCCATTTCCCACAAATCCTTAAATGTATAAATATCATTCAATAATAAAAATTACAATAATAAAGCTGAATATGTAAAGACAAGTGAAGATGCTTTGACATCTAAGGATGCATTTAAATAATACTGACATATAAAGCCACAATGGCACAATAAAGAGGCTTCAAGATATAATTAGGGGGGAGGGACAATTGAAGAGAACAAAGATCGATTTGGTTATCACAAAGGAATGAAAAGGAAAAATCAAAGTGGGGTGTTCAGGGAAGAGTTGAGCCACACAGCCATCTGCCATGGATCAGGGAAGTGCTCACCATTGGCCACCCAGGTTGTTGTCAAGTGTGCTGACCACTGGATGGATGAAAAAGGAAGAGGCTACCGAAACCAATACTGAAAATTTAATAAAAGCAAAATAGGGGAAAACAAAACAGGAGAGCAAGAGGAAAATTTAAGTGGCATGAACCATACACACTTGACCAATGGTCATCCAACTTGAACTTTTTCTCTGATTGCCAGTCAGATGCCAGTTAAATTCCTAGTTATTCTCCAACTCCAAGTCTCTAAAATAGGGATAAAATGATAGGAAAAAGTGGCAGTGAGTGTGCATGTGTGTTCCTATGTATGCATGCATGCATGTGTGTACACATGTGTGCAAGTGTGTGTGTTTAAATCCGGGAGAAAGGACATTCATTTCCTGCTATTCTGGGTTTCACTTAATTTTTCAGAGTCTAGTGAATTTTGGTATGAGAATTTCATTAAATGTTTCAGAGCCTGAGTTTCTTCATCAGTAAGTTCATAAAATCATTTCATTAAAACTGGGGATCTTTCAGTTCCTTCCAGTTTTGAATGTCTGAGGCTTTCAATAAGTATGGTTAAAGCACAGGGAACTTGTTTGAAATCACGCTTGTAAAATACCTGCAAGCACGCTCGGGAGGGGCTGGAAGAAGAGTCTGCAGGGGCTAAGATAAAGGGAAGAAGTCCTTTGGTAGATCCAATTCATCACGCTGATCCTTTGCAGATGGTGATGATTCATATTGTTACTGTGGTAACAATGGTTTGCCATGCAACTCCATAAAAAGATTTAAGACAAAGCAAAACAAATTTGGTCTACGAAGCAAATGCCAATACATTCCTGCTTCCAAGAGTCTGTTGTTAAGCAGGGTCTCCCATCCAGAAAACATTTTCTCTCAAGAAGGCACCACAGTGTCCAGGCAACAATATAACCGGCTCTGCTTATGGTAGCCTGAGTTTTCAATCTCCCAAATGCCAGTCCCTTCCACACAAACAGAAGCTTGGCAAAATTTAAAAGCCTAGGCAAAGACAATGAATGAATGGCTCAAGTATTATATGACTTGGTTAAAAATAAAAGCTTAATTAGCATCATGGCAATACAATCATTATGGCAATGGGAAACTACTACCTACACATAAAAAGTCTTCAGAATAAAACATATATGCTCACTTCTGTTTTCATTCCAGAATTGTATCAGATTCCTTAAGATCTACATGTATTTACAGATTAATATAGTGAAAATGTGAAATTATACCACCTTATGAAAGAAATTGCCACTTTAGAAAACCAGACCACAGACAACTACACCTATAGACAATTAACACCACTATCTTTTGCCTGTTCTTATAATAAAGATCAAGAATGTTGTACATGGATAAGAATCAGTGAGGAAGAGAGTAATTCTAGTATTTATAAAATAAAATACGAGTGGGTAGATTGGTTTGGGGAGTGACACAGCTGACATAATTACTGGGATTGTTCCTCCTCCCCTCTCTCAGGCTCCAGGATAAAGAAGAATCAATTAGCCCTCAACTGACTATGACCTTGAAGGCTACAGCTCTGTGCATAACATGCTGAATATGCTGAGGCAGAGAGAAAATGGGGGAGCGAGAATAAAATCCTGAAACCACTGAAGACATGTTTCAGAAGTGATAATGCCTTTTTAAAACATAAGCCACGGCAGCCTTCACACGCATGAAGAAATGAAAGTTTACTGGGACTCAACAGTACCTTCTTAGCTGAAAAGAAGGAAAAGGAAACGAAAACTTCATTCTAGGCTTACTTTTTCCTTTATACATGGTTACAGAATTCTTAAATACTAACCCAAACGACCACTTACAAATCTCTGAGAAGAAAGCTGTCTGGACCAATTCCTTCCCCAAAACCAATTAAACAAACCAAAAAAATGACTCACAATTATTAGTATAGCACCCATGTTGATGTGATTTGGGTTTTATTTTATTCATTGATAGGGGCACTAGTTCAAAAGATTAGCAGCATTTACAGTAGAGAAAATCCAGTAAGCTATCAAGTATTAACCAACCATCTATCCCTAACTTTTCAGGAGACTCCTTCCCAGACTGCTTTCCAGGCTTATCTCCAACACACTCCGGATTGCTGCAGCTGTGCATCTGGCCAGCACTGGCCACTGTGATGCTTTTAGCCAGCAGTAAATCTTTTCCACTTATTGCAAATGCCACAAAATCAATGCAGGCTGAGAGAAAAAAAAAAAAAAAAAAGGCAAGAAAAAAAAAAAAAAACCTACTCGGAATGTATGGTCCATTAAAACATGCAGTAGAAGAATTCACCTTCAAAAATAATTTCCCAAAACTTCCCATCACACTTCCCGACAAGGTCTTAGTTCAGGAGAAGGTACTGGATGTTTCTTTGTTTAATGTCATTGGATGACAAAATTACAGGATTTAGCAGAAGAGTTTCTCAAAGGGACAGCTTGCTCTTTTTTCTGGGCAACCAAACCTATGCAGGCACCTTTTAAGGAAAGATTGAAGTTGAAAACGACAAAGGCAAAGTAACCTTGCCTTCCTGGTGGATTTTGCTGCTCTGTGCAGGAGCTCTACTTGCTTTTTATAGCCTGTCATTTCATCTGGGTATTACTTCCCAGTCACTTTGCCAGGTGGGAAGAGGCGCTGAAGGCAGCGGAGAATGTCAGCTCCGGAACTGTGCTTCGGGGATTTGGTAAAGACACAAAGCAGCGTCGGCATAGGCATAGAGGTTTCCTGTAATCACACCTGGAAAACAAGCCTCTCTCTCTCTCCTTTTTTTTTCCCCCTTCCATCTTCGCCACTGAAAGCTGCCTGTGTGAAAGGTTCTTGAATCACAAACCAAGTTTTTCTGTTTCCCTAGCACAGAGCTCCACTTCATACTGAACATAAGGTCTGCAAAAGATATTTCTCATTTTTTATTACAGTCGAGAGGGAACCAGAGCAAGGGGGTATTGCATCACAGAATCCTTACCTTCAACTATCTTTTAACTCTTTAAGGGATGTTACACAGTTATTAAGAACCAAAGCCTCTGATCTTTTACTTATTTCCACGTAGTCAATACTCATCAATGGCAAAAAATGGAGTAGAAGATAAAGCAAAAATAAACAAGAATCTGTTTCAAGTCTGGAAATATTTTAAAAGGCTCCGGAGAACGCCTTCCTCTACACTGCCGTTCAGAACAATCTGACGAGTCATGGTTTCATTCTTGTCAACTTTCTTTATAAAGCTATTGCAGTGAGCCAGTGCAAACAGCAATATATTGCTCTGTATTGTTTTAGGAGCGTGGGCTCTCTGCACTTGCAGATCATTAAACCAAGCTGCTGCAATCTGACGGACTGAAATGACACATGTCTAAAACAACGATGTATCTTACTAATAGATCCTATGCTTTGAAATGACTGCCAAGGAAGCTCTTAAAACACCAGCGTATAGAAGACAAAACTCCTCTGGGAAAATCCCTTCGTGCAGAGTTGTCCTGCATTCTGAACAAAACAAAGCTGCCCCAAATAAGTGCTTGGTGGCCTGTACTACGACAGGGACAAGGGCAACAAGAGTCTCCAGCTAGTGAAAGGTGAGCACTGGAAACGTCTTAGGACTTGCTTCAATTTCAGAAAGAATCAATCAAAAGTCAAAGGGCAGGGGCTGGTGGTGAGGAGAACGCAGGCCAGGGAATAGAGAGAACAGGGAGAGAAATGTAATGGGCAGCTTGGGGCTGCTGGGAGGCAGAGGGTATCCAGAAGTCCACAATGGGAAAAAGAAACAAAATAAAACTCAGAGACATGAAGAAGTTACACGTACACAGAAATAAAGGGAAAGGATGCCCCAACGTTTGGCTTTTAAAAAAGTGTGAGAAATAAACTGAACTGAACTTCAATTTAAACCTGACTTGGATCCCTGACCCCAGACTTAACAATGCAGCTAGAGGGAGCCGCAGTCAGTGCATGGATTCACACCAGGCGTTCACCAGATTTCTCTGCGCATCCCTTTCGAGCCGCCCCATCAACTCAGGCACATGATGCGATCAAAGAAAACCATGCAAGTAAAATGCAAGAAAGGGACGGGCGCCAAGCTCTAGAGCACTCCAAGCCCACCCCTTTCCTTCGTCCATCGTCACCACATCTCTCTCTACTTACAAAGTTTAGGAGCAGTTTGGAGATTAGTTTCTGTTGTTTGTGGCTGAGTTGCAGACTTGGGTGTTCTCACCTCAGGGTTCCGAGTGGGCGAGGGAAAGGACGGCACCGTGGAAGGCAGGAAGGAAAAAGCAAAGACACGGTTCTTCGGGGTCAGTGCCGCTGAAGGCTTAGAGGACACAACGCCATTGTCAACTTGCACTGTAACTTGAACCTCAGCTTCGGACTGAGCCCCAGACACAGGTGAAGTGTACGCCTCAGACGATACCCACACAGCTGAGGCAGCAGTGGGAGCCAGAGAAATCACAGGGTCCTGGCCCAACCCCCCAGGGTCAAGGTGAGTGGGAGAGTCATACTCAAATATCTTGTCCACAAAGACCCACTTGAGGCCGGCGATGCAGAGGCAGAGGCTGACGAGGCACGCCAGGATGGGGACAATGCAGATTTTCTCTGAGTTGAGGCAACCTCTCAGGCGCTCGGCTTCCAGGCACACACAGCAGGGCACGGCCAGACCCACGAGTCCGGGGGTCCTCCCATCTTCCGTCTGGGTCTCGGGCATGTCTTCGGCCGCCGGAAGCCCGTCAAGAGATGGGTCTGCACTCAGCTGAGTGGAGGGGCTGGAGGACCTCTCAGTGGCTACCTCAGACATGTCTGGGGAATAAATCTCCATGGGCTCACCTCCAGAAGGCCTGGCCTCTCACACGGTCCATTACCATGCAGAGCCCCCCCCACCCAAATGATACAGCATCTTAGAGGGGGAAATCGATAAGTCGTCCAAGTCCAAGGCCATTATCCAAAGCAAGAGGAATTCAGGAGGAAGGATAATTTAAAAAAAAAAAAAGCTTCTCTCAACTATGAAATAAAAGTATATAATTCTCTAAGCTGTTGTTTCTGGGCCACTTTTCTAGTTCTTTTAAATGCTTCTCCGAACCATCCCGGCTGATCAAGAGGACAGGGGCCAACACGGCGGCGGGAGCTGCTTGCTCCCGGTTAATTAAGTAAACCAGTAGCCCAAACTGAAAGGCAGGTTCCTCACCCCGAGCATCTGAAGCTGGTGTCTGCTTAGATGAAGAAAACAACTGTCATGCAGGAGAAGTAAAAGCAAAAACAGGAGCAGCGGCGGCGGCGGCAGCAGCGGCGGCGGCAGGAGAGGCAGCAGTGACAGTAGCAACAGCATCCTGTTGTGTTAACGCGGAGGCTGAAAGAGGCTGAATCATTACAGAGCAGCAGGTGCCTGCCCTCCAAGCATCACTGCAAACAGCCAGCCTCACCGAGGGATCTGAAGGGAAGCGCGCGGCCGGGAGGGGCGGTAACTCCCTTCCCCGCCCTGCCTCCACCCCCACCCCCAACACCACACCTCTTTGTCCTCTCTGAGCGCTCACTTTCTTCCTCTGCGCCTCTTCCCTTCTTCGTAGTCTCTCGCTTTCTTTCCCCTCCTCATCCCAAACACGTCTCTCTCTCTTCTCTCTCACTTCTCCCTCTTCTCTCTCTCTTCCTGTCTCTCTCTCCCTCTCTCCTCTCCCCACCCCCACTCTCTCTCCCCACTCTAGAGCTGCTGGCTGGTCTGAGTGAAATCAGTACAGTACACCCAGCAACACAGGACTGCCAGTGACTTCCTATTTTATCCAATTAGAAGGAATAAAGACCATCAAATCAAAGAGAAGCAGGCAGGCATCAGTTAAGCTTAGTCCCAGACCCCCACCCCCTTCCTTTCTCTCTCTCTACAAAAGCGGCCCCAGTCTCCCACCTCCTCCTCGTCCCCACCGCTCCCCCCACCCCCAACCTTGCTTTTCTCAGTCTTGCTGGCTCTCTTTCCTTCACCCACTGTTGGGTCAGAAAAAGCTGTCGATCGATGCTAGCCATCTAACAAAGCTGGGATGGGGCGGAGGATGTAGGTGGGACCTTATGGGTTGGACCTGAGGCTTGGCAAAGTCTGATATCTGATTCCTCCCTAGAGAGGTAAAGCTTTTCAACAGCAATTTCTTCCTGCCTGCCGCTGGAGATAGCATTCCTCTCCTAGCCCTCGGATAAGTTTTGTTCACCAAGAGGACGGCGATTACCTGATTCTCAACCAACAGTTAGAACATTTTTCTAACCATGGACAGCTCTGCTTTTTTGCTATGACCGTGTGAGGCTTGCAGTGCCCCTTGTGAAATGCTGAGGATGCATGAGAGAAAGCCGGTGCTAGGGGAGGTGGATAGAAGTCCACACATCCGCATTCCGGTCCCCGTCCCACCCAAAGGAGACCAGACGAATGCCAAGTTAATAGGAAACACTGGCAAGTAACAGAGCTAGGACTACCACTTCATTTTTAAATTAGCCTTTGCCTGTGACTTGCTGCAGAGGTTTGAATTCCCTGGGTGCTGTAATAGATACCACATGTCTTCAGCTACAACCGCACTGCAAGTATTAAGAAGGGGTTTCTTTAAGAGCACGCCTTTTAGGTTAGGTTTCAGGAGCTCTGTCTTACAGAGGGTTTCAATGAGGCTGTTTCTTCCCTTGAAAACAGAAGTCATTAAAACACAGGAAGAAATGCCATGACCTTAACAGAGAACACAGGCTCTCTGAACATTCTGCTGTGTGGCAGTCCTCACTTCACTGGGAATGGACATACAAATGGTTTCCAAGGAGCCATTCTGTTCACCAACACCAACAAAAACTGTGTGTCAGTCTGCACCGTATATCCACGATAGCCATCCCCAAGGCAGTAAGATTAGAGCTCAAGTCCGGAAAAAACTGTTTGACGCACAAAATACTTTTTATGTAGTACAAGCCCCACTGCTTTCAGCCATGCTTAAGCTTTAAGTGGCATAAGACGAGAATATCATCATTTCGTTCAAGAAGAAATTAGTCCATAATTATAAATGATTTAAAGAGTATTAATATATTAACATGTTTGCAGTACCATCACTAACAACAACAAAAGCCTGAGCCAATTTGCATAATTGTAACCATGACTATAATGAGCTTATGGGCAAAATGAGTTATCCTTAAGTTCGCCTCTATATAAACTACATCTATATAATTATAACTTGTATTTTAAAATACTTGCTGTGTTTATTTTCTAGCTTTAATGATTTGATTTTAAAATAGTGAGAGCTCTTTTACAAAGATTCTAATGATGGACGTGAAATTTCACATTGTAGAAAATCTCCATTGATGAATTTAAAGTATTCAAACAGATATTACTTTCCTAATTATCAATATTCATGTAAATATTTAAACATATTACCAGCAGGTAAATGTTTATGCTAAACTAGGGCAATTTATAATTCCTTCAGTGATCACCTAGTTTAAATATAGGGCACTTGGTTTTTCGATTCTGTCCCAAAGCAATTTTATATTCAAGTATAATACATTGGGATTTCATCCATGGTCAGGGTCAGCTAAATTTCAAAGATCAAAATGCAGTTCAGTTATCTGCAAGTCAGGCAGGTAGGAGAAAATAGCAAGAACAATAACACATTGTCAAAAAAAAAAAAAAAGGAAAAATAAAATGCTCCTTAACTTGTACCAATCACAATTACTCATTCACCTTAGTCATTTTAAGAAAACATATTCAGCAGACAAAAAATTACTAGGCAGTACTCTAGTTGCCATATTAAAAATTCCCAACACTGACCAAGAAAAAGTATTACACAAAGGCTAGGACAAACACCAAATTCAGAATCCTACAGACCATCAAGCTAATCTTTTCTCTGTTCTACACAACTCAGACTTTGGGCTATGTATGTGTCCTGCTAGAAATGTTTTTTATGGATCCCATGGCAACTTGGTGCCAAGATCAGTTTGCAGAGGGCTGGCTCCCTATAAATTTGGATTTTCCCCATCAAGTTAGATGAGGAATATGAGTAGAGCAATGGGAGTAGGACAAGAGGTAAAAATAATACAAGGAATTCTCTGTTAGTTCTACCCTTAGGACTTAAAGCCAGAAGCTACCCTCATCCCTTCATCCAATCCTCAATATCGGGGGAAGTGTTTTGATGCAGAAGGTTAAGCTACTGCTTGGGACACCAGCAAGTCTGTTATCGGAGTGCTGGTTCAAGCCCCTGGAAATCTACTTCTGATGCAGTTTTCTGCTAATGCTCCTGGGAAGGCAGCAGACAGTGGTCCATATACTTGGACTTCTGACATGCATGTGGGAGATAAGGATGGAATTCCAGGCTCCTGGCTTCAGTCTGGTCCAGTTCTGACTGTGTTGGCTGTCTGGGGAAGGAACCACCAGATGGAAGATCTCCCCCCCCCCCACCTTTCAAATAAATAAATGAATTTTAAAAAAAGTCTTTATAGCAGTAAGTGAGGAAGCGCAGTGTGAATGATAAAGCACAAAAGTATATACCATTTTAACCCTTTACGCAGCACTCACAATAAAGCCTAGGGACACCATGTTTCCACGTCCTCTTCACTGCTTTTTAAAGCCATCGGCTTCCTAACAATAAAAGTTAATTGATAGCTACCTTTGTGCCCAGCATTCTGCTATGATCATAGTAAATTATTTCTGATCTTCATAATCCCATACAGATCATTTTATCTTGAAAACAAAGAAACATGGGCACGAGGCAGCATAAACAATTTAGCCAGGGAAACACAGGCATTAAATGGTAGGGCCAATGGGGTGGGCATTTGGCATAAGGCACCAGTTAAGATGCCTATGTCTCATGTCAGAGGGCCTGGGTTGGACTCTTGGCTCTGGCTCCTGATTCTAGGTTCTTGCTAATGCCAACCCTGGGAGGTAGCAGTGATGGCTCAAGTAATTGTGTTCCTGCCAACTATGTGGGAGACATGCTTTGAGTTCCTGGTTCCTGACTTGGACCTGGCCCAGTTTTGTCTGTTGTAGGCATCTGCTGAGTAAGTCAGAGGATTAGAGATTTTTTTCCTGTCTTCCCACCATCCTCCCCCCCTCACCCCATCCTGTATCTCTTTGCCTCTGGAATAAATAAAAGTAAAGAACATTTAAAAATAGATAAATAAATGATAGGGCCAAGATTTAAGCAAGATTTAACTCATGATATTTCTGCTAAAGTATACTGTTTTCCTTTTTTAATCAAAATAGTGCATCTATTATATGTAGCTCACATATTACTTCTATGAGTGAACAGAGAACTAGAAAGTATAACCATTAAATAGGAATAATTACCTTAATATAGTTGTAAACAAACTTAAAGGTACCTAGTTTACAAAATAAGAATCTTCTACAATTTAGGTTAGTGATTTTCAGAAGTTATGAGGATTAAACACAGGCCACTTAAATATTATCTTTTTGAGTTCTTCCGTGGTCTCTGTTCCAGGACTCTCTTTGGGAAGCTACTTCAGTTAGTGTTGCTGCAGAACAAGCCCTGAAGCAGGTTAAATCCACAACCGTCTTGTTAGAGCTCACTACTGTGTAGGTTTACTGCGTTCCACAGAGTGGCTCTTCTGTTCTGTTCGATGTCAGCTGTGGCTGCGGCCAGCTGCAGGTGCAACCAGACTGAGACAAGATGTCCTCATACACACTGGCATTCACATCAGATGGCAACAGGAGCCCAGCTGGGGCTGCTGATTGGTGCACCCACCTGTGGCCTTGCCACAGGACTGGCGCCTCTCCCTGCATGGTGGTTGGGTTCTGAGAGGAAGCCTCTGAGGAGGGAGGAAGGCTGTTGAAACACAGGCTTGGAAGCAGCACAGGTTATTTCCACTGCATCCTACCAGTTAACTAGCCACAGCACCCATCCTGATTCAAGGATGAGGAAAATAAATCTGATGGAGAGTGACAAAAGAATCTATAGCCCCAAATATCCACCATGAAAGGTAAGGAAGAAAATGCTAGTAAGTCAGCCTGGGTCAGAGGAGACATAATAATATAGAATAGAATCTGGCAGGACAAAGTCAAATACACTTCTATTTCCAATCCACTTCTATAATATCCTGATCCTTCTAAGCCATCTTCGGTGAAGAAAAAGTCCTACTATATCATCAATCAAAAAAATATTCAATCTCTCTGCTACTTCAATTCAAGCAAGGACAGTTAGTTCTGCATTAATTTTGTTTATTTTATTATCTGAAGTGTGTAGCAAAGCTCTAGGAGCTAAAAGAGGATGATGAATGCCACTTTGCTTTTGGTCACAATACACAAACTTATCTTCTGTCTTTACTTTTTCCTATTTTGTTATTTGACTCTGAAAAACCTATCACTGAAAAGTGCACCCTTGCACCTCATATTTATGGTTGAAACAAGTAGAATTTACTTGACAGTATGTAGTACAGAATAAACAAAGACAGCAATTATTTTGTGTTTGGAGATAACTGTGTGAATTGTAAAGTATTTGTTTATTTTCTAATGAATTACAAAATCGTGATTTTCCTAAAGAAGCTCAAAGACTTAATGAATGCAAAACTTTATTGCTGTGTAAGTCTAAGTACTCAAAGGACTCAGCCTCCTCCACCCATCCAGAAACATCCCCTTGGCTGAGTCAGCTCCTGCATCCCTTCCTAGGTTTTCAAATCACAGCCCCAGCATTTTGCACCTGCACCATTCCTTGGGCGCATTTTCACAGCCATGCATTATTATGTAATTATGTCACATGGACAAGGCTGAGAAGGGGACTGAGGGCACTTTCTTTGAAGGCAAGGATTATCACTATCTGGTTATCTCAAACCTAGGACTGTTCTATGCATTCAACTCATAGGTCTTATTTGTTTGTTTTTAAAATATATCTTTATTTATTTTGAAAGCAAGGGTGACAAAGAGAGGAAGACAGTGAAAGATCTTCTATTCACTGTTCGTTCCTCAAATGCCCACAACATCTGGGGGCTGTACCATGTCGTAGCCAGGAACTAGGAACTTCATCTGGGTCTCCCACATAGGTGGCAGGGATCTAAGCACTAGAGCCATCACCAGCCACTTCCCAGGGTGCACATTAGCAGGAAGCTTGATGGAAAGTAGAGAGGCAAGACTTGAACCCAGGCACTTCAATATGGGATTTGGGTGTCCTAAGCAGTAGATGAACCCACTGCGCTTCAATGCCTGCCCCTTGTTCAGTTTTGTTTTTAACTAAGTTGGAATCACACAGATTACAACATCCCTAATAAACCGATGACTTTCCATATCAGTTCACGGATCTTAAATACCCTCCATATACCCCCCTCTATTTTTTTCATACAATTCAGTTACCTCCTTACCAAATTTAAATTTCTCTGATAGTTCCAAAATATGCTTTATGTGAAGTTCGCTGGTTCTAGTCAAATGGTTGTCACACCGAGGCTAAACTCTCAATCACCGCAGATATGTTCAGCAGATGGAAACTTTAGAATAAACCAGTTTGTGAACTGTTTTGCCAGTAATTCTCTCTCCAACTAAAGCAAAAAGTGCTGAGGGCAAACCAAACCCATATGTTACTGGCTTTTCTTCTACCTACCTGTGATGCTACAGGGATGAGATGAGGCCCAAGTCACCTTCCTGGGCAGGTGTTTTGTGCCCACTGTGAAGGTGAGTCATGACTGTGATTCTGCTGTGATCCGGAAAAACTGTTCTCAGAGAAGACAAGTTGACTAAGGTGAAGAATGATTTTGTGAGAGTCTGTATTCAATGCTATTGACTGTGCTTGCGTGTGCTCATTTTATTACATGATGATGATCAATTTACTCTGGTACATTTTGTTCTTTATGAGTTGAGATTCCTTTTTCCCCACTCAAGATACACTAAGCAATCTCAATGATGAGTATATGAGAATTTTATATAGAAATATATTTGTATTATTTATGACAGTTACGGTGCATTTTTTTGAGATCTTGCTAGTTTCTCATTGTCCATACGTAAAATCATGGGATATGTACAAACACCATTTGTTTCTAATTTTACTACCATTTTTAAAAGATTTATTTATTGGAAAGTCAGAGTTACACAGAGACAGGGAGAGACAAGGAGGGGGGGAGGGGGAGAGAGAGAGAGAGAAAGAGAGAGAGAGAGTGTCTTCCATCCACCGGTTCACTCCTCAGATAGCCACAACAGTACAGGGCTGGGCCAGGCTGAAACAAGGAGCCAGAAACTCCTCCTGGATCTCTCACATAGGTGCAGGGGTCCAGCACTTGGGCACCCTTCGTTGCTTTCCCAGGCCATTTAGCAGGGAACTGGATCAGAGCATCTGGGACTTGAACCAGTACCCATACAGGATACCGGTATCTCAGATGGTAGCTTTACCTGCTATACCACAACACTACCCTCTAATTTTACTTTCTTTTAAAGTTACACTGGACATATGTCTTGGAACCAGATGGAAGTGGTGGGTACAGACACTGTGATACATGCCCCTGAGATGTTCACTTTAAAAAGACTAATTCCATGTTATGTGACCTTTAAGTCAATAAAAAATATACTGGACACTCATCATGGTTTCAGCCTTTTCAACATTTAATTTTAAAAGAGAAAACATATCTGACTAGTTTTACTAGTGGGCTGCACTAATATAAGATTTTTTTTATGGGTAGACTGCCCTTCCTTCCACTGATAATCAATAAGTGATGCAGCACTGACTCACTCTGACATTACTAGCTACAAACTTCGAACTGACATTTGTGATACAGTACTTTATCCGAAGGACCCCAAAAGCAGAAAAAATATCATAAATTGATATGTCACAGTCTTAATTTGAAAAACATTTGATGAGAAAATGAACAAATGCATACCATTCTGTCCCATTTTATAAACAAAATATTGTTTGCCACTGTTCAGCTCGTTCCCACTCCCTTATTTAGAATGTACTAGAAACATGAGCAAAGGATGAGGGGAAAGTGGCAGCGATCCTGTATTTTTTGTTTACACAACGTGCTTTTGATCAAATGTGTGGAGGAGTCACCACCAGCATGATGATGAGGGCAAACACTTGTGTCTGCTTCCACTACTCTGTCCCTGGCATCTTGAACAGTTCGGGCACACAGAAGCATTCAGTAAGTATCTGCTCAGTGGATGCATCATACAGAAACTACACTGAAGAAGGCTGTACAAACTATGGGAACACATCTTCAAGAAAGGGGTACTCCACATTAGAGCTTTACAAATGCAAATAACATTTAATCAAGGAATATCAGTGTGTGTGAGAGACAGGGAGATATGGAGAGAAGGAAAACAAAAAAGAGAATGATCATGACTGTACTGGTACTACATGGATAAGAAGTCATTCATAACTTACTACAGCAATATGAGGAGGTCTTCAAAACATTCACAGAACACGCGTATTAACAGAAAACTATGGGGCTGACGCTGTGGCATAGAGGGTAAAGCTACTGCCTGCAATGCCTGCATCCCATATGGGCACCAGTTCGAGTCCCGGCTGTTCCACTTCTGATCCAGCTCTCTGCTATGGCCTGGGAAAGCAGTGGAAGATGGCTCAAGTCCTTGGGCCCCTGCACCATCATGGGAGACCCAGAGGAGGCTCCTGGCTCCTGGCTTCAGATCGGCTCAGCTCCAGCTACTGTGGCCATTTGGGGAGTGAACCAGCAGATGGAAGACCTCTCTGTCTCTGTCTCTGCCTCTCTGTAACTATGACTTTCAAATAAATAAATGAATCTTTAAAAAAATAGAAAACTAGGTACAGATTTCAATATTTTTGGCACCAAAAGCTTGCATTTTAATTCCATTTGCCATGAAAATTTGTAAGTATCTTCATTATATATATTGACTTAGTTACCAGGAACAAATAGCTTTGCTTTGTTTTCTAATATTCTCTGTTTCAGTCAAGTGCAGGGCACAGAGCTGCACAGCTAAGAGAGAGACTTTTTTTTTTTTTTTTTGGTCTGTTTTTCCCTTGAGTCTTTTTTTTACTCAGTATTTATTTATTTGAAAGGCAGAGCCACTTGGAGGGTGAGGCGAGACAGAGAGAGAGAGAGAGAGAGAGGGAGAGAGAGAGAGAGAC